GAGTGAGTGAGTGTGTGTGTGTGTGAGCGAGTGAGTGAGTGTGTGTGTGTGTGAGCGAGTGAGTGTGTGTGTGTGAGAGTGAGTGTGTGAGTGTGTGTGTGTGAGTGACCTGCAGGCTCTGTCCGATCTCCAGCAGCGCGTGTACGTTGTCCTGGTTGAGCTCCAGGTGTGAGGTGTACATGTAGTCCAGCACCTGCCCGATGCCGCCCACGTCCTGGATGGCCAGGTGGAAGACATCGCTCTTCTGCGCCGGAGAGTTCTGGAACAGAGACCTGCGGAGCACAGGTGCGTCCAGGTGAGCGCGAGCGCGAGAGAGGGAGCGCTGACGTCACGCAGGCCTCACCTGAAGTAGGCGCTGAAGGCGGCGAGCACGTTCTTGTGCGCTTTGAAGCTGACGCCCTTCACCACCAGCATGCAGTCACACAGCAGGCCCTGGATGCGCTGCTCCTGCAGCTGCTGCAGCACGTACACGCTGTGGCTGCTCACGCTGTCCATCTGCGCAGACGCAGTGCATCACGTTTCAGACCTGCAGCAGCTTCACGTGAGGCTCGGTTAGTTTCACTCTTACTAAACATCATTCATGCGTCCGCATAAAACCGTTTGTGTCTACGAGAATAACTATAGTACTACAGTGAAAGCAACGCGCGTGTGTATATAGAGCAGCATGAAGAGAGACTCATCTTACCTTCGCGCGGATGAACAGGCACTGGGCGCACACGTCATTTCCTCTTTTCACAATAAAAGTCTTTTTCTTCTTTTACGCGTTCTGTCTGATTTTAACGCAGATTATACATTCAGAATTATAAACACACTTTATTATTGGTAGGTTAGGTGTTGTTTGAAAAAAAAAACGCCTTATACCGCGTTGTCATTTATTATGAGTTGTATTTTTTCTCCATATTCCGTTTAGGGTCTTTGTTAACTTCAACTATTAAAAGCAATAAAAAAAAAAAAGCGGAAATCAAATAAATTATAAATGTTAGATGAAAAACTTAAACTAAACGCAAAAGAGAATTGGCAACTATGTGTAAGTTGAAGCAATAAAATCACGGATTAGAAATAAATAAAAAGCTAAAACTGAAATAAAAATGAAACAAACGTGCATAGTATCCCCCAAATTTAATACAAATTACAAAAGCACATAACAACATTATATACTTTAAAATGAAAATATTTGAATTCAAAATATTAACTAAAAATACATACACTGATAACATCTAATTTTTTTCATTTATTTTCATATTAATTTGACCCTATTTCTTTTCCTAAATCCCCGTTCTGTTGTTGTTGTTCATGTGTTCGCGGAACTAGTATTATTTCCTGTTTCCTGTTTCCTGTTTCCTGTTTCCGTTCAGAGCGGCACCGCGTGTTTCAAGACGCTCGCGTGTTTTATCTCCGTTAACACCGCAGACTCGCTCACGGAGTGATATATTAACGCGTGTGAAGCCGCTGCTCTTCATCAGAGAGTCACAGATCCGCTGTATTGAGGTAACACGAATCATTATCTGACATATAACGTTACATCCCGCACTCAGTGGACGCAGTGAGACCGCGTGTTTCAAGACGCTCGCGTGTTTTATCTCCGTTAACACCGCAGACTCGCTCACGGAGTGATATATTAACGCGTGTGAAGCCGCTGCTCTTCATCAGAGAGTCACAGATCCGCTGTATTGAGGTAACACGAATCATTATCTGACATATAACGTTACATCCCGCACTCAGTGGACGCAGTGAGACTGAAGCTGTGTGTGTGTGTGTGTGTGTGTGTATATTTCTGTCATGACAACTCTCTGAGGGATTGGCATGGTAATGTACATAGCAATGTTAATGTATTTGGTCTTGGCGGAATAGATCTGCTGCTGCTGCTGCCAATACATGCACAACATGCTGCTGTGAGCATGTTAGAAATGCTGCTGCTGCACATATAACATACATGAAATAACCACCATATAGCATACATCACCCCGTAGCAGATCTATACAGGTAGAGCTGGGGAAGGGGGAGGGTTTCTGAAGTGAACTGCCAACTGCTACAGCAAACAAAAGCCAGGTATTTGAATACTGAGCAGCGAGCTCATTGGCAACCGATTCAGGAGAGAACCAATCAGCTGCCATGTGACAATGATGTCACCAGGTCAGATTGAGCTAGACCTATCAGACTGCGCCATCTAGAGTTTCATGCCAGAACTCTGTGT